AATAATAAAAACATAAATATAATTCTTTCTTGAATAATTTATTTACCATCTACGTTTTTTCCCCTACCAAAACTCCAAGGATCCATTTGATCGCAATGAATTCTAGGAAAAATGTTACATTTGATGAATTCGTTTTCTACTTTTGGCCGTTTGATACGAAAATGAAAATGGAGTTCGAATTCCAAGGTACAAACACCAAAAGCATGTTTTTGGCAATTCCATGGAAATCAAATTCCTATGGTTTTGGTGGTTTTTTCTTTCCAACTTACATGGAATTGGTTTGCCTTTTCCACCTTTGTAATCACAATCAAAGTAGAAAACGAATTCTTTGAATGTGATGCTTTTCTTGGAATTCGTTGCTTACAAATGGAAATTCCAAAAGAAAACAAATGCAAGGAGAAGAATTATACTTTTGTGTGTTGTGTGTGTAGGCAAATTTTTTTTTTTTAGTCCGACAAATCTTCAAAATGACTAACCTGATAGGTGCAATTTGTGTACTTAATTATGTAATATTAGTAAACTTTTATGACGTCAAGTTATTAAATTTTACCTAACTTAGGTTAATTTTTTTTTTGTTTTTAGTTAGGGACTCATTCGAAGCACTTGGAAAAGAAAGAATGATGAAAATGAATGAAATGGGCAAGTTTGGAGATCAAATTCAACCCTTTGAAATTTGGAGAGCTTAAATTGATTTGAAGAAGAGGTGGGCTGTACAATTTAAGGGGCTACAGGACTAAAATTCATTAATTGAAAAAAATGATGCCTTGATGAGAGATATTTAATTGGGCTCCAAACCAATTAGAAAAGTTATACAAGTTTAATTGGGCCTATTAATGGGAGTAAGTGGCTGAATTTGTTTAAGGGAAAATTACATAAAATCAAGTACTTAAATTTTCAAATTCAAAATTCAAGGATGAAGTTTACTTATGCAAAACTCAAGTACTGTATATAATTAATCCCCAATTCAATTAAAAACCCTAATTATTTCTTCCATTTCAATTTTCAATCCCGTCTCTCTTCCCTCTCTCTTCCCACGCCGACTTCTCCTCTCTTTCTACCCTCCATCGATAACCGTCAATGTTGAGGAACGCCGCCGTCGTCGAAGATGTGAGAGTCGAGCAATAGCATATTTGCTACAGTGACGGAGAAGTGCCGAAGGTAATTGTATTATTATAGGATTAAAGATAAGAAATTATTTTCATCCTTGAAGTACGCCACCATTTATTGGAACGATTCCAGCATCAGACATCTAATCTTATAGATAAGTCACCAGATTGTTAAACAACAAAGCCATGGTTGTCTCACACTCAGTGTCTGTCTATTGTGTGTGCGTGAAATGATGCAGAAAGTGAATGTGTGTATGGTCTGTTGTTTTTGAATAGTGTGACGGATGAGGGAGAAATGTAAAGGATTTAGTGTTATTCTTTGTATTTTATTTGATTTGTTTTAAAAGGTTAAAAATTAGATCTGTCTTGAAACTTAATTGTTTGTTGGAAAGTGCAATCTTTCATTTTCTTTGAATTTCGATTTAGGGGAGTTTCAAATAGAATATTGAGTATAATTTCCAAATTTTTTGTGTACTTACAAAGACAGAATTTTCTATAATCAATTTTTTGCTGTATAAAATTTTCAAAAATATTTTTCTTTAGTTAAAGATGTAATTTGGAAGCTGCAATTGCGCAGTGGTTATTTGTGACCAAAATTGGTGCTGGATTGGGATCGGTAGTGGGGGTATTTGGTGAATGTGACCAACTATTTAGAATATGCAACCATAAATATTTGAATAAATATGACCCTGTGACTTGTAATTTTTTAAAATCTGTGACCAATAAAATAATTTGTGACCTTTAAATTTTTTATTTGTGACCTACAAATTTTTTGATTTGTGACATCCAAATAATCTGTAACCAATTACTTCGATGATATGTGATCAATAAGTAAATCCGTGACCAATAATTATGAATCTGTGATCATTAATCGTTTAATTGTGACTTTATTATATTTAATTAATAGATATTTTCAATTAATTATACAGAAATCTGAATTTTAAATTTTTAAACATTGTACTTGATTTGTGAATGAGTGTAAACAATACGCTTGACATATGACTTGTTTGAGATACACATTGGAGGTAGCCGAATTGGGCTGTTATTGGATGTGGGAATTGGACTTTTAATTGGAAAAGTATTGGGCAACTGACGGCAAGAAGAGAGGGTATAAAAGGGTTTCTTACTTGAATATATGTAGATTATACAGCAAACAGAAAAGGGCGGTGGCTGTTGAGATGTATGCATGCAAACGGCGGCTGTGGGAAGTAGAAACATAGCTGTCGTAATTATATGTACACAGAAATAGAGACGCACAGGGGAGAATTGGAAGAAATAAGGCAGCCAAGGAATACATATAAATAACACGCAGAAGCCAAAGCGGACGGAAGGCATACACGGATAGGAAAATAAATTCACGTCGATTTTTTGTGATGTCTTTTATCTTTTCTCCGGTTCATTTTCACATTAGCTTAGGCTAAATTATTTTGTGCTATGATTTGTGATGAACCTTGTATTATGAATTTTTAACTTTCGAATTTATTTATTTTGACGTTAAAACGTGTTTTCAATTATTGAATGATTGACATAGATTTTATTTTTTCTACAATTATATGCACAATAGTTGTATAAGTTTTGTGGCTTGTTATATCCTCGAGAGATGGAAAATAAGTTAGACATTGTGTCAATTGTCATAGAATTCGATAGGGGATAAAAATATACCGCTATGCTTTTCGTGACCTTTAAGTATTCTCAAATATATTAATGCATTTTTATATGTTTGCATCCATCGTAGAAATATAGTCAGGTCACATGTAAAAATATCTACTCGAGAGATTGTTAAACATATTAGGAATATTGATTTTCATAATTAAACCGTGCTGTCTAATTTATAAAATTCGGGTTAAAGAGGATTCAGGATCCTAGTATGCTTTTTGAAGGCTTAAACATACAAGCATGTTGGATGTATCTTGAGTCTCGGAGGAAGCTCCACCTGATAGGACACTATTCCTATATATATATATATCCTAAAATTGTATTTAATTTAGGTTTTGCGTTTATAAGTAGCTTATTAAATTTAGTTAGAGAAAAATCACCAACTTCTATTGTTTCGGTTAAGGTGAAAATAATTTAAATTTAAACTAGTACAATCTCTGTGGGACGATACTTGGACTCAAAATCTGCATTATTACTTATTAATGAATTGTACACTTGCAATGATTTTAATTCTAAATATATTTTCATCAACATAACCAAATGGTTTTGTTCGATTTGTTTGGATTTCAATTTTGTGTTAAGCTCAAAAATCAATCAAATCCAAATCATGTTTAGACTTAAATATGGCATCGTTCCTTTAAAAGGAAAGACTAGAGGACACCATTTATGTCCCCGCAAAAATAAAAAGACCAAAACACATCGTTTTAAAAAAAGAATACAAGACGATGTCAGTTTTGTCCCCAAAATAATAATAATAATAATAATAATAATAATAATAATAATAATAATAATAATAATAATAATAAAGATCACGTTTTAAATTGGGTAGTTATTTAGTAATTGCAATTTGGATTGGGAATTGTAGTTTTTGGATGAAGCTTTCTTTTAACTTTTCTTGAAGAGCTTGTTTGATAAAATTTTATTAAAATTTTATCAACTATTTAGCTGGTCAAACTTCAATTTTAATCAAACATTTTATGTGATTCACAAGTCAACTATTTTATCGACTTTTCAAGAATATATTTGATCAATTTCTATCAAAAGATTGGAGAAACAACCCCTAAATTTGGAGGCCCGCCAATTTTTTCCTTGTTAGAAATTATGCCAATTTCAATTCAATGCCTATATCTCATTTCATTGTTGTTTTACACTTTGCATTTAAAAAAAATAAAATTGAAATCTAAAATCATCTACGGAAACTATTTCGAAATTTTCTTCTAATTGATTCATGCAAATTCCTATTAATTGTATGATTTCAAAAACCGCATAGTAACTTAAAAACCTAAAGCAAAAAATGTAAAAGTTTATTTATTTATCTTTTAAGAATGTGCTTAAAATGTAAGAAAATATTATGGATTGACGTGAAAATAATTTTATTAGGAGAATGTGTAGTTAAAAGAAAGTTTGAGGAAAAATAATTTTAGATAAGTTGTGCCAAACAAACGCTTAATGTTATTTTTCTTCTTCTACTAATTAGACCATTATCATGGCGTATTTATTAATGTGTTTAAATAAATGTGTGATTGAAAAAGTCTCCACTAAATGCTTCAATTAAATACGATTCTTCAAGTGCAAAAAAGTTGCATAATAAAGAGTCACGACCTCTGATATGGTTAATTTAGACCATCAATCATAAGATCTAATGGTTGAAATAATTTGTGCCAAAAGATATGATTATTAAAATAGACACATGAAAATTTATAAATAGAACCCTCCAGATTTCAATTTTTTTCACATTAAATCTCTTCAAGTTATAATTGATTTTTAATTCTCTCCTCTCTTCAAATGTTATGTTCTTTATATTTTATTGAAATTAAATGTTCAAATTATTTTTCAAAAATAAAATTTCGTCCGAGTATTTTAATTCGTGTTTATTACATTCAAGAATAATATTGTCACTACTTTGGTTCGATCGACAAGGTTGGTACAATGCAATTCCTACTTTAGAATAAGAATTTTATCTTTGGAGACGACATACATTTTATCCTATTAGCACCAGTGTTGGGGGCAAAAATTGTTTTAAAGATATTTACATTTGCATACCTTGCTTCATTTCATCTCCATTCTTTTTTTCTTTGTTTTGATTGTAGTCATTAATTTGACAACATAACATTGTATAGTATCTCATGTTGCATTCATTTCGAAGTTATAATCTAGCGTCACCCAAATTATCTCTTTAGGTTCTATAATTCATATTATAATACATAGTACTTTTTGATATTTTAAAAAAGCACAGTATTTCCAAAAGTGTTATTCATAATAGAACATTTCCCCCAAAGCAAAATAACATAAAATGGACAAGTTACAATTGGACTGTAGTAGCCCACGACAAACAAACTTACAATTGGAGGCTTTCCAGGCCTAAACACTTATTACAACTCAAAACTTAAATTGCTTCTTGTATCTAAGGAATGCCAATTTGAGAGCAAAAATGGAAATGGGACTGATTCACGTTAGTTTAGAATAACCTTTAGCACAACATAACCGATTACTCAATCCCAATTCTCAAATCACCCTAAAATTTAAATAAAAGTAAAAGTAAAAATAAAAATAGTATAAAATTGAGATAGTAAATAGGACGGAAGATTGCCTCATTTCGTCCTGCCTCGCTCGACCCTTCCTTAAGCAAGGGACGAGGGCCTTTGCCTTCCCAAGCTATATCCAATAAAAGTTGGCAAAGTTCGTGGGGCTTGGAAATCATTGCCATGTGGTCAGCATCTTTTATTTCTTTCACTATTGCTGCTCCAGAGTTTTTAATTTGCCAGCGTTGGTACTCTACTTTTAAGGCTTTATCTTCATTGGGCATGATGTAAGCACGCTTTACAGATCCATACGTTTCATTGGAAAATGCACTCTTCTTTGACAAATCATCCCAAAAATTAGAGATTGGCCTCATCAACGCTTTTGCTAACGCCACATCCTACCATAATGGATTGAAATCACTTGTTGGTCACTCAATGTAAAGAAGTATTTCACTTCGATTACTCAGCTTTTCCTTTGTTGTAAATTCGTATTAAACTTTAATTTCTATATTTTTATTTAAGGCATTTACTTTGCTAAGTTAATGGAAATTTAACTTGAAAAACCTTGTAGTGCACTGTTTTATATCTTCATGTTTGATTGAAAAAAAAAAAAAAAATATATCTTTTAGATTACCTAAACTTTTATTTAAATCGATTTTTTATATTACTATTTATTTCATCGTATTTTCCTTTTTCACCTCAGAAGGGCAGAGTTGGTATAGTTTGGATGATGTGTACTGCGGGCCAAAGAGCATTGACATGACATGATCGCCGGGTCTTCCAATTGGTATGAATTGATTGTCCATACTTTCTTCTTTCGTAGTTCCTTCTATCACCTGCTATGCAAGTTAATGTAAGTAATTTAATTGAAATATATCAACAAAAATAGAATCACTTTGTTTCCTCAAATAAATTTTGCTTCAAAATAATTTTTGTCATCATTGTTTTTGTTATTTTTTTATAAAATTAATTAATGTCATCTCTAATTACTTGTTAATCATTAAGGACGGTTAAAGCCTGAAAACTGTGTGAATATTTTTGTTGAAATTCGTAACAAAGTTTATTTCTAATTAAAATTGTCAAATATTTATTTAAAGGTTGTAAAGAGGAGATTCTAGAGTATTAAGGCAATTATTACAACAAGATATTAAAACGAAAACATGTATTAATGAAAAATAATAAGTTGGACAGAAATAAAGATGGATGTTATTTCCCTCTGCCATAAGGCAAAATACACCCAAAGATCCAGCAGATCTTCACGCCTTTGAAAAGATGATGAGTGCTTCAGTTTCCAGGAGCACACTGCTTAGTGTGGATCTCAGAACCAGGGGTTCGAAATAAGGATTTTTGGCACTCAGACTGTAACCACACAAGATCACAGGAAAGAGTACAGTCTTCCAACTAAACCGAAAGTTCACACAAGAACACAACCCTCTAGTAGCAGAAATCACCCAAGATAACACTGCTTTTGAGTTACAGAAAATCAAACGAGGGTTTTTGATTTTACAGAGAGAAGACGAAAAAAAATCTCGCAGCCAGAGAGAGAAAGAAGAGTATGGAAGAATGAAAAATTCACACACAGTAAACCCTAGAGAAGCCTTATATAAGAGTCACCAATGGTCAGCCATCCTATGGTTGAGGGGTTAACACATGACATCATCTCAGGCGTCCAATTAAACAAAGAAAGGTCCAAGTGCGGTTTTAACAAACAGAAACACGTTTTTATTCTTCCATTAAGATTGTAACAGATTTAACAAAAAATCAACCGGTCCACACATTAATTCATTTAAGGGTTTTTGCATCATTGTGCCACCCTTTCAATTTTCGTTGAATATCGTAAATATCTAAATTTTATTAAAACATATGAAAACGTATGGAGTACCATTTTCTTCCTTAATAATTTTCAATTCTAGGATAATACGCTATTTCTAAGTGCGGGCACAATTTTACCTGTTCAAAAAAATAGATTGGCGTATGTACAGTATCAGGCATAATAGCTGCAATAAAAATAGCAACAGAAATCTTTTGAGGGTATTTCTCCATTGCGAAAGCCATGTTCATGCCGCCAAGACTATGTCCAACTAGAACCACCTTTTCGTCTGGCGGAATCGACTCCATTACCTCGAACAATGGCATTGTATATTCGGAAAATGTGCGCAGCTCGTCTAGCTTTATCGGGTTGATGCCGGAGGCTGCAAGATCAATCGCCGTGACACAGTGGCCCTCCGCCTCTAGCAGCGATTGTAGCCTGTACCAGCACCAAGCTCCATGGCATGCACCATGCACCAGAACAAAATGTTTTTGTTGCTTTCCGCCTGTCATTCTTCTTTTCCTTAATTAGTGTGTGTGTATACATAGAGAGAGAGAGAGAGAGAGAGAGAGAGAGAGAGAGCAGAGTTTGTTGATAGAGAAAAAGAGAGGGAGAGTCGAGATGATAACTTATTCATAGCAATAATGCCATTTGTATTAAAAAAAAAACCTCCAACCTTGAGGACCCCCACAAGTCAGGGAACAAGAGCTGCATGTACACTGCGCCTACAAGAAATCCAATTTCATGTTTCTGAAATTAAATCCCCATACTGCGGCTGCCAACAAGGTATGAGAAAACCTTACTTCTGTCATTTATAGATATCTTGGGTGATTAAGAAAGGGAAAATTTTCATTATATAATGTATTCTCCTAAATAAAATAATTATCATGATTCACGCCAGCCATTTACGGAATTATCTAATGTATTCTCCTAAATAAAATAATTATCATGATCCACGCCAGCCATTTGACGGAATTACGTAATGTATTGTCCTAAAAACTTATTTTTATGATTCACGAAGATCAATTAACTATTAGAATGTCCTTTCCTAACCTATTTAAAAGAATCAAAACATCTGCCATGCCAACTGTAACGTTTTAGACTTTTTATTTTTAATTAATTTATTTTTTTGGCCTCCACATTTTAAAACTTGATCTTTATTTATTTATTCTTGGGGACAAAACTAAAATCTCTTGTATTCCTTTTTAAAACGATGTGTTTTAGTCTTTTTATTTTTGCGGGGACATAAATGGTGTCATCTAGTCTTTCTTTTGAACCGAACGACACCATATTTAGGTCTCAACATGATTTGGATTTTGTTGATTTTAAGCTCAACACGAAATTGAATTGGGTGATTTGGGTAAATTCTATCTCAAATCGAGCTAATCCAACAGTTGAAACCGAACCAAACCATTTGGTTAGTCGGTTTGAACATTTGTAGGAGTCAAAAAAATTTTGTTTAAAAATATGAATTTTAAAGTGAAGAAAAATTCAAAAAAATCATATTAAAGGGTTTAGTAGGTTAATTGACAGGTTGCTTGCTGAAATTGCAATCAACTGGACCTGACTTTTTAATGATTAAAATTAATCAATCCAAATCTGAAAGTTTGGTCTAGAATGATACACACCGCTTGTGATTTCACAGGACGCTCTTGATTACCAAGTTTACATTCTAGATTACTAATTAGTTCGACATTACGTTTTGAATTATTCTAATTAAAGTAACAAGTTACTTTTAATTAGTTTCTAGATAGTTAAGCATACAATTCAATTATCCCTATGTTTAAATGCTGCAATAGTAATATGGAAAGCAGTAAATAACACCAAGTTTGTTGACAGAGAAACCCAACATGGGAAAAACTCTAGGACCAAGCTAATTACTTCCACTATAGACAATATAAATTACAGTATGATTCCAACCTAACAAATTCCACTAGCTGTTGTCACCAAGATTTGCTGTGCCCCACAGCTTTCCGATCTCCTATAGTTAAATATTGTCTAGCCACTCTACTAGGCTTCTCGATCTATTCCCTGTAGCTTCCACGATCTGCTGTCTCACCAGCTTCTTGATCTTTTACCAATTGTCTCTTCCAAGTCGAATTTCAGAAACCTCATGTTCTTGTGCTTTTCCAGCGCTTGAAGTCCACTTCTCTCAATGCCCATGAGAAAGTCCCTTTCTCAAAAAATTAAGGAAACCAGGTGTTTTTTATTCAGAGGATTTGATTTTTTCCTTGCTAATTCTAAAGAATGAATGATTGATTTCACTAGTTGAACTGTGTTCTTGGATCTCTCAAAGATGTTATGAACGTGTTGTATTATTGAAGCACAATGAAGCAACCTCCCAAAAATTGTCCATGACTAGGGTATTTATATTTGGAGGCGAATAAGAAGTATGGGCCGTGTAAAACTCTCCAAAAATGTGACTTAGGGTTGGCCACGTAACATTGTCGCTCGAATGACACTCTAATGAAAAGCGAGTGACAGCTTTTTCGCTCGAGCGACGCAAGGGTGACAAGCGAGGGACGATTATTTTGTTTTTAACGCTCGAGCAACAACTTAGTGAACAGCTCGTGAAAACTTGGTGAGTGTTCTACCTTGTTCCAAACTCAAACCCTAACCTAAACCATCTATACAAATTACAACACAAGTCCTAGACTTTTACAAAAGTTCAATTAAGTCTTTTTAAGTCTTTTTTGTTAATAGACATGCCAATTACAATATAAAACCAAATAAAATCAATTTTTAAAAAGGAAAATCCATGTGTCTAAGGGAGCATGAATCAGTGAACTGCCACAAGCGCTACGGGCAATTCGAACTACCATCCGGACCCCACTGGAGAAACTCCGTTCTCAGTGGCTTATGGTTCCAAGACGATGAGCCCGATAAGGTTAGACTACCCTCTCCTCGTTGATTGCAATTCAGTGAGATATCCAACGATGAAATAAGAAGACATGAGCTTGATTTCCTCGATAAAAAAGGAATGAATCCCCAGTAAAATTAGCTGCATACCAAAGGAAGATGATCCGCTACTATAATGTAAGAGTCAAGAAAAGGTCATTTCGAGTTAAGAATTTGGTACTTCGAGAGTTTTTCTATCTTCCAAAGAACCAAGAGTAGGTACGTTGACACCAAATTACGAAAGGTCCATATCGCATCAATGAGGAAGTTACAACCTTGTCCATGGAACATTAGCATCTCAAAATATACTATCAATGATTGTACTTTATACTGGAAGACCTTACTCAACCTCAATAAAATTCTCAAATGTGAATAAATAAAATTAGATTTCGTTTAGTAAATCTGAAGCATAAACTCTATTATAAAAACGTGTGTACCTTGGAGAGGAATATTAAATCCCAAGAGGAATCACCTCATTTGTTTTCCGAGGCTACATCACTGTCTTTCCTAGGCGAAGGTTAACGTCAAGAGAGAAACCTTTATGGGATGAACCATCTACCATATATGAAAATGTGGGTACCTCAGAGAGGATGATTGGATCCAAAAGTGATCACGCATTTGTTCTCCGAGGCGTACATTACATACCTACTTAGACAAAGTTGAACATCAGGGGAGAAGCCTTGATACAAATGAGCCATCCACCATCTATGGAAGCATAGACACCTTGGAGAGGGGGATTGGATCCCAGACATAGATCAGCTCACTTGTTTTTCAAGGTGTGCATTATGTGCCTCCCCTACACGAACCTGAACGTCGGGGAAAAAGCCTTTACATAGATGAACCATCCACTATATATGAAATAGTAGGCGTCTCGGGGAAGAGGATCGGATTCCAAAAGAGATTACCTCATTTATTCTTCGAGACGCACATCACATTCCTCCCCTAGATGAACTGAATGTTAGGGAAAGAGCTTTCTCATAGATGAACAATCAATCATATATGAAAGCATGGGCGCATCGAAGAGAGGGATCGAATCCCAAAATAGATCATCTCATTTGTTTTTCGAGGCATATATCAAATGCCTCCTATATACGAAGTTGAACGTAAGGGAGAAAAGCCTCTATATGGATAAACCTTCTACCGTGTACGAAAGCTTGGATGCCTCAGAGAGAAAGATCGGATCCCAAAAGGGATCATCTTATTTGTTTTCCTAGGAGTACGTCACATGCCTCTCCTAGACGAAGTTGAACATTAAGAGATGATTCTTTAAATGAATGACCTATCCACCATGTATGGAAGCGTGAGAGCTTCTCAGTGGAGGATCGAATCCCAAAAGGGATCAATTTATTTGTTCAACTAGGCATACATCACATACCTCTCCTAAATGAAGTTGAACGTCATGCGAGAAGCCTTTACATGGATGAACCATCTACCATATATGGAAGTGTAGGTGTCTCAAAGAGGAATATCGAATCCCAAAAGGGATCACCTTATTTGTTCTGCAAGCTGTACATCATAGGCCTTCCTTGACGATGCTGAACGTCATTAAAGAAGGATAAAACACCATTAAAAGAGGTATTGAGCTCCATGTGTTCTCAAGATTAGTCAAGTTTTTAAAATGTCTTAAATACTGCGGTTCATTACGAAATGAATTAAACAATCAAATTATTTAAGTACTTACTTTATTTAGGCCACAACACTTGAGTTATTAAAGACATTAAAATAGAAAAACTGAAGACATCAAAATATAGAAGCATTCATTTTATTACTTAACAAAATATTTACAAGATGGCCAAAACCAAAATTACAAGAAACAAAAATCTAATACTATGCTAGTGGTGGCTTGGGATCTGACTTCTTAGTAGCAGACACTTCAACAATTGGACCTCTTGGCTCGAAGCTTTATCCTTTAGAGCATTTTCTTGGTCCATTTCTACATTAGCTTCAGTCGTGTCTTCAGCTGGGGTTTGAGGCACCTCATCCAAGAACTTAACCCTTAATTTAGTAGCATTAAATTTTAGGTAAAGCTCTCGCACCTGTCTACTACTTCGACGTAGGCAAATATCTTCCAATAGGCGCTGAAGTACTGGTACTCTTTTGTTAAGTGGAAGTTGGGAATATTATTCTTTACTGCTTCTTTACCTGTCTGCTGAGCATTAGCCTTGGCCTTATCTACCCTCTACACATAGTGCTTTATCTAGGCCTCATAAAACTTGTTCGTATCCTTGAACCCACTGAGTTCAAAGATAGCTTTCTCAAAAGTTTCGGCCCTTAATTTCTGATGATTGATTGAATTTTCAACCTTAGTCAATAAAGGGGATTCATGGACCTCACTATTTAGAGCCTCGATCTCCGCTAAGGTAAAAACCAACTTAGCTGTCTCTTCAACTCACCGGGCTCTTAGCACTTTGGCCTCAATTTTATTTTCTTCATTTTCTTCTTTGTCAATGCCAATTTATCAATTTACTCCTTATTGCGCGCTTAGATGTCCTTCAACACCTATTGGCATTCCAAAGCCATGCTAAAGGCTCTGGCACTTTGGTTCACCAGTGTTGCTGTTAGGTCCACTGCGTCACAAATAGATATATATGACTGCCACCTATTAGTTTAGAATATAAAAAATTTTGCCTCGGACTTTAGGTGGTAGTATATCCTTTATTGCCGGAGTAATCTCCTGATCTTGCCCACCAAGTGCCTCCCAGATTTTCTAGGGATCATAGCCACCCTGCATTCCTTACACCTCCAAGCCTTATTTTTCTTCTTTTTGAGCCTTTTCATTGACCCTCTGAACCATTTCCACTTTTACCACTTTCATTGAAGCCTTTATCAACTTCAGATAAGGTGGAGCAGCTTGTTTAATG